GCTACTAAAAGTTATTGTGTTACTAAAAGAGAGGCTCAGCAAGTCAGAACAGAGTAACCTTCATATTCTGCAAATTGTCCCCCTTTGGCTTATCTACACCTTTTGGTGACCTTTCAAATTTTTATCTCAAAGGCTTTGAAGCCAGTGTCTTCTGTGTGCTGTGGATATATAGTGTGCATGTGTATAAATATTCTTAACAAGAAGGGACGACTGGTTGTGGGAAGATATGGGTTGGAACTTCTGTATTAATTTTAAAAACTGTTTCATGGACCAGGCACTTGTTGAGCAAGCCCATAAGGATATAGAAATGAAAGATGAGAGCATCTTCAAACTCACTAAAGAGGTTGTGGAATTAAAGCTATTACGAGAAGAAGTAGATGGAAGTCCTTCAAAATCTTCAAGGAATCCTGAGGATTCTCCTGTTTGTAGGGTAAGTTTTGTTGAGTAGGGTTGATCTTAAAAAATTCTTGCTTAATACAGGAATTTTTAAAACCGGACTCAAAAATTGGCAGGTCACAACCCATCTGGAAAATGAATGTGGTAATTCAACCTCATTATCAGACTCTGGTCATTTTGATGATGTGCTGTCTGTGACTTCTCCTCAGTCTAACCATAGCCCTGGTCCAAGGCAGCTTGCACTGACACCTGAGTCTGAACGACAAGCAGAAATTTACCAACGCAAAATTGATGACGTCAACCGTAAACATGGGGAAAAGAGTGTTGAGGATAGGAAAAGCCTTGTAGATATGTATGAAAAGAAAATGGAGGAAATGTCAAGAAAAGCTAGTGAAAACTTGAAGCTAGAAAAAAATGAACTCATTGAAATGTATGAAAAACGCATTGAAGATATTGTCAGAAGACATCAGGATAAACTTAAGGAAGAGAGAACTTTAGCCCAAGATTCATTCAACAAAAAGATGGAGGATGCCAATACAAGGTTTGCAGTTTTTTTAAGACAATAAAATTGGTTTGTTATTTTAGATATATTTTAGAACCTTTCTTTATGTTCTTCTGTTTTTGTTTTTTTTATAGATTCAGTGATTTACAACAAGAGTTATTTCAATGCAGAGAGAATGCAGTACTCCTCGAGGAAGATGTTGAAAATCTTCGGAAGAAAATTTTGACACAAGAGCATCAACTTTCAGAGAAACGAATAGCCCTGGTTCAAACAGCTCAGCTTGAATCAGAGTTGCAAGTTCTACGTAGACATGTGGAGGGACAGCAAGAATTCTCTGAGCAGACCTCGCAGCTTCACGGTGAATTAGCCGAAGTCGTAAGCCAACTAAAGGAGATGGAAATCAGATATAAGAAGCTTGAATGTGAAAAAAATGAAACTGAGGCCAAATTTGAGGCTATGCTCCAAGAAGCCCACGAGCAAAAATCTCATCTGGAAGGTGAACGCTCCACCATGCTGCAAGGTCTCCAAGAAATGGAAAAGAAAATTGAGCTTTTGGAACAGGAAAAATCATCCTGTATTGAGGACTTGCAAAAGTTAGTTGAGGTAAAGTGTAAGGCTGAAAAAGAATTTATTGAGGTATCAAAAGAACTAAAATATTTTGAGGAGACAAAAAAGAAACTTGAGAGTGAGAAAACAAAACTAGAGGATCTTTACAAAGAAGAGAAGAAAACAGTACAGCATTTAAAATTACAATTGGAGAGTAAATCAGATCAGTTGCAGCATTTTATCAGTGAGGAAAGTCAAAAGAAAAGAGATTTAGAAGACCAAACTGCAGAAATCATTGTCATGAAAGAAGAAGAATGCAAGCATGCCACAGACTTAATGTCGAAACTTGAAAGGGAACTTACCAGTGTAAGAGGAAGTCTCAGTGAGCAACTTCAAAACAAAATTGAACTTGAAAATTGGAAGTTGAATGCACAAGAAGAAATCAAAAACCATCTTCAAATAATCCAAGATTTATCAGAAAACTCTGAATATCTGAAAAGAGAAATTATTGAACTTAAAACAAGTTTAGATGAGAGATGTAAAAGTCAAGAAATGCAAGATGGCATCATTGACGATTTGACTGAAAAATTAAATAATTCTGTAGCTCAATTAAATAAAAAACAAAATGATGTACAACAATTGACGGATTGTATTGCCAACCATGTGAAAGAACTTAAAACAGTTTCAGAGTTGCTAGAAATAGAAAAAAATAAAAATTCTGAATTACTGCCATGGAAAACAGTAGCTGAAAAGATGGAAACAGACATAACATGGCTGAAACAAAATTTAGATGAGAAAATACAGCAACTTCATTATTTTTCTGATATTGAAAGTGAAATGAGTGAACTCAAAAGAAGTCTTCTTCTAAAGGAGAAGGAGGTTGAAGAACTAATTATGTGGAAATCTAAAGCCCTTAATCTAGAAGAAGAGTTAAAATCCATGAAAGATGGTATGGCTACATCCATGCACAAAATGCATCTTGTAAATGCGATCTCAGAAGACATCCAAAGTGAAGCAACTAGTGAGTTACCAAGTCAACTGTTACCTCAACAAAACCAGTTGAATTTAAAAAATTCTGTGATTCCATGTGTTCCTTATGAAGCACAGCAACATGTATTAGAACTCGAAGCTGAAATTCAAAAGCTGCGGGAAAGTTTAGATCAGTCCTACTGGAGTCAGTCTGAAAAAGAAATGTTAAACTTGGGTATGGAAAAGACAGTAGCAGACCAGAATTTGAAGCTCCAGAGACTAGAGAATGAAGTTGTTATGCTTAACCAATGTATTGCTAGACTTCAGGAGGAAAAAGATAACCCAATGACTCACATAGATCAACATTTGCTGAATGCAACCCCTCCAGAAAATAAGATTAGTCTAGATCTGGATCAGGAAGAATTAGAGATATTACCAGGAGTTTTAGGCCAAAACGATGTGCAAGATGACAGTCTTCACAATATAAATGGAACAGAAAATGCAGAGCTGATTGTTTCAGAGTTAAAGTCTGAAATTGAATCTTTAAGAAAGGCTCTTGCTGATCAAGAAGAGAGACATACCGAAATGAACTTAAAGATGTACTTGAAAGGGCAAGAGGCAGCCAAATTTGAGAGGAAAGATCAGGTGAGGATATTCTAGACTGATTAATTTGTATAATCAGGTAGCCTAAAGAAATTATGAGCTTACGTCTGTTTACTGTATTTGTGAAATGCGTGCATTTTGTTTTAGCTTCTTGAAATGGCCGTGCAATCACCAGAGAAGGTATCCATTCCAGAACTTGTCTCACAATTGGCTGAGACAGAAAAAGAACTGGAAAAAGTGAAGGTAGGCATGAAATGATTTTAAAATAATCATTGTCTATTGTTTCTTTGTCTCACATTTAATTGTGCATGGGAGGTTGAAGGTTTCTTATATGCTTCTTCATATACCTTTTTTAAATTGGTATATCCTGTCTTTAAAAACCTAACTATAAAACATTTACCAGAATAACCCTCATGGTTGGAGATGAGCCTCAGTCATATGATTAGCTGTAGATTAGTTTCTTCTCAACTGTTTCACAGTTCTCTGTTAATGTATCAACTAACCTACTGCGCCGTAATACACTTACACCTAGAGTTATGCTTTTTAAAATTGTTGACTTTAAAAGAAAAATACCTTGTGCTGAAACAACACATCACTGTATTGTATCTCAAATAATGAGAGGCTTATCTCACACAGTTTTAAATTGTACCTGTCACTGAGACAGGTGTGATTTATTGACTAATATGCATCATATTCCCCTTCCAGGCCAGACTTTTGTGCGTTTTGTTTGGTGTGTAACTGTGGGTTGTTGTGTTTTTGGCACGCGCTTTGCAGGATAACCAGCTTGAGAACATGCCTAAAAGCAGTCCGAGCTTGCTCAGCGCAAGCGAGGCTGTATGCCTTTACCTTCTTGGTTCTTTCAAGGTCTGTATTTTGTGGTTGGACCCAGAGTTTTCTCCTCTATATTGTTTGGCCTTGTGCGTTCACACATTTCAGTCTGTCAGCATAGTTTCTTCAATTTACTTTCTTTTGAACATTATTATGGGATAAGAAAAACCTTCTGTAGGTGGGTGTGTCAGGGATATTCAGCTCCATTTATGAAACGTTTAAAAGTTATCTCTCATGAGCTATTCTGTTGGTCAAACGCAAACTGATTGTGTTGAGTGTGTGAACAGCCCCTAAGCTTTGTAGGAACAAAATTCATATAAAATTAAAGCAGTATCAAGCCTGACCTGTTGTACATGCTAGGTAGAACAGTTACATTATTTAATCTGTAGGTCATTTAGGTCTTGGTGAGAATTAAAAACATTGCTGTTCTTGTCTTGCCTAGGTCTCCTTTGCATGACTTCTCTTCTTGTCTTTCGTATATTGTCTGTTTGTAAGTCTTTTCCAGATGGTTGGTGCTGGCTTTGCTTGCAGGGATACTGTCTTATAGTTTAATTTAATTTCTTATTGTTATGGATATATTTAAGTTCTTAAGTTATTCTTGCATTTTGTTTGGTGTGCTGTTGGTAACTTTCATGTGCAGAGCTTCCATCATGTCTCTGGTGCATGAACTGAGACTATTCTATCTATTTCAAAATCAAAATAAATTGCATGTCCAAAGTTTTAACATTTTTGAAGCATAGGCCAAAAATTAAAGGCATTGAAAAATTGTGACAATTATTTCAAGAATAAACAAAATAAAACCCTCTTTTTGAAGAAAACCCTGGCATGTGCATGGGTGGGCGGAAGTGCATGTTCAAGGAATTGTCACTTCTTAGATAGAGAGTATGGCCAAAGGATGGTGCTGTGTAGCGGGGATTCGACTAGCAGTACCATTCTTTCGTCAGTATGACTAATTGCCAATTCAGTACCGCCCAACTCCCAGATGGAATTTGGGCAGCCTCATTACCAGTCGAAGTTTGGGACTGTTTCAATTTTTTAAGCTCAGCTATTACACAAAAATTTCATGAGGCTGGTCTGTTTTATCTGGGTTGTGATGTTTACTTCTTGCCTAACACTTTGTATATTTGCAGGCAATGTATAGACAACTAGCAGAGGGACAAGCCAACAACAGCAGCAGCCCAGAAGCAACACTATTATTCCTCAAGTCAGCTGTCTACTACTTTTTAACTGATGAAGCCAATTGTCAAGGGCACCTACATGCCATTCAAAGTATTTTGGGGTTCACTGAGGCAGAGAAACAGTCTATTGATATGTTGACTTATATTCGCCGGTGATCAGATTTATAGTTCAAATTTGTTCAGCTTAGCTTTTAAGCATGTAAGGGAAGTGATGGGTCAAGTTTTAATGGATTTGTATCTGAATGGCTTTAAGCTTCCTGATAGGTTATTAGCACTGCTCCAACTGCAAAGCACTGCTATTCAAGTGCACATTTATCTTTGTAATTATGCAATGGAGGACTGACAGTACTTGTTGAAATTTTGGAAAAGAAAGTTACCAGCTGTTAAGTTTTATATGTCATGTTTTAAATGTAATAAAGTGCCTGATTATAGGTGATATTTTTAATTAAAAGAAGTGAATGGATTTTAGAAAGGTTTATTTAATGAAGTATAACAGGAAAATCACTTCTTTCCAGGAAGAATGATACCATCATACTGCAAAGAAAACAAGAGAATGAGTCATTAGAGTAAAAACCAGTTACATTAAAATGAGCCACAGGTCCAAGTAAAACATACCTTCTGTTGGAACCATTTCATAGCATCCTCCTTGGTAAGTCTGTGGGGGAAGCCAACAACACCACGCTTCCTCCTCCTGTGAGCGACATTGAATCCTGCAATACAAAACAAAGGCAATTAAATGTAAGGTCGGATGCACTGCAAGTAAAATATTTCAAAGGTGTAATGATTCGTTACCTGGTCGGCCAAGGACAACATAGAAGTCAAGACCATAGATACCAATACTAGGGTCATACTTGATACCAAGATCAATGTGTTCCTGAATGCCGAAACCGAAGTTGCCAGTGCAAGAGAAGTTCTCCTTTCTCAATTCGTATTCCCGGACCTAGAATGAAAACCATTGGCTTAGACAATAGTTACTTAACAAAAATTTGGGTCTCTGCCTGAACAGATCATGTTCCTTCTCTTAGTATCATCCCCAGTATACAATGTGAGGAAGAGTTGCAAATTGGAAGGATTTCTATAGCACTCTACTTAGAGATTCATAATATAGGAAAATGATCACAATAGAGCACAGTGCAAGAAATTATGCAAACAGTGAAACAAAAAATTTGAGGTACTGTCCCTTTCGTCAGTATCTTCCCCAGGAAGAAATGTGGGCAAGAGTTGCAAATTGAAAGGATTAATATGGCACATAGTTAAAAGACACAAAACTATATGTATAGGTCTATACAACCAAGTGCAACAGTTAAATCTTTAAGGCGGTTACTGTTGATAAGATGGGTAAAAACTAAATAATTCTTGACAAACTGATAAAGTCACAAATTGAGATCATATACTGTGTTCTGGGACACTTTACTAACAAAAGTAGCACAACATTCCAGCATAATAGTGAGATATCCTGATATATTCATTCAAAATAGATCACAAGCCAGTTAATCAAATAAAGCCAAATGAGATTTGAAAATAGTTAATTATGTATGATCAAATAAATGTTTTAACACACATCTTGCTGTGGCTGGCCCTACAATTACACTAGCATAGTCTGTCATAAGTTAACTACATTTTAGGATGTTTACTGATGACACATACCTTCAGTCCTCTTTCTAAGATTTCTTCAGCCTTGGCACCTCTGACTGTGCAGTGGACAGCAATCTTCTCGTTACGCCTAATACCAAAAGACCTGACGGTGTACCTGGCCTTTGAGAACACTGGCTGCTGGCCCGTAAGCTGTTCCAACACCTAAGTACAACAAATAATAAGAAAGAACATTACAACGGTGAAAACACATTCAAAACCAAACGGAAATGAACGCAGGGAGGAGTATTCATTACGTCCTTCAAACGTTTACAGTGATTTGATAACCCAGAAATTTACCTTGGCTGCTCGTGTAAGTCTGTCACCAGACTCTCCTACACAAATGTTCAAGCAGAGCTTGCGGATGCGAACCTCTCGCATGACGTTCTTAGAGGCATCTTTGCCTCCTTCCTTTTTGACACCCTTCTTATCCTGAAACAGAAAAAGTCAACACATGAGTTTACAGAAGCCGCTCGTAGAGTCTTAGGTTAGGCGCGGATAACCCCCCTAACACAACAATTTCAAGTGGCGAACGGGAAATAACAGCCCGTGGACTAATTAGAACACTTTCAACTCTATACTAGTCAACTTTAGGAGAAGGTGGGAAGCAAAGTTAATCGAAATCTTATAACAAGTCCAGTGAACACGTTGACGTCGAGATGCCCGTCCCAGGCACCACCGCTACAACAACACTGATTGTATTTCACAGTTCACACCATCCAAACCACCCGGAGGACTTGTAATTTCGACGAAATGAGTATTTACAACACGTAAATAGAAAACAACAATAGATATCCTTATTTACGAAGACGATGGAAATAGATTAAAATAAACTTTGAACACAGGCACCTACCGCCATGGCTTCGGCACAAATGGACAGTTCAAAGACCGGATGTTACTGTGGCGTTCTGTGTCCTCACCGGGGCCGGGTTTTAACCGGAAACCAAGAAGCAGACGATGCGCCTGCTGAAACGTTTTTTGTGTTTAACAGAAGGCACTGGTTATGTAAACAAAGTTTATTCAAAACATGGTGGGAAGAGTTCGAAGAGATCTCAAATTTAATTTTCCCTATAAATGCGATTAGAATCTGCGCAGCTACTTTCATCATGGATGGAGACGAATCTGCGAGCCTTTTAGCTTCTTTAGAGCCTCAAGTATCTTCTTCGGACTCTGCGGAGCGAAAGTTGGCTCGCCAGTTACGAATTTCTAAACGCAATGAAGCAGCTCGCAGGTAATTCAGTAATTCATTATTCGTTTCTGCTGCTACTTTTCATTCGTCTTGTGTGAAGTCATATGATTTTTTATCATTATTAATTATCATCATCATTTGCTTTAAATTGTTTTCAAGGGGTACCAGCGATGGTGATCACCATCTGGATGTTGTGTCTGAATACACAAATCTGGAAAAGCAAGTGGAAAGCAGTGCAGAGGAGTTGGAAAGATTACTCATTGAAGGAAGAGAACTGGTTTGTTTAACATCCTTTTCCACTTTCTGATCGTGGAAAATTGTTTGTAAGTATTATTTAACTTTATTTTTATTTAGGTTACTAATGTCCGTGTAGCCAGTGACACACGAGAGGTGAATAGACGACAAGAGGAATCAGAAAATAGGAAAAAAAGGTTGCAAAGGCTAGAGGAAGAGGAAACAACAACCAGAGCAATGTTCGAAGAAGTAAATGAAAAATGGGAAATGATGGCCAAGCACAATGATCCCATGGATCTAAAATCTGATATCGATGCTCAAAAAGGTCTAATATAGATTTAATTAAATCATTTTTCATAAAAAGACATCTTGGTCCACACTGTTCCGTCTCATTTTTGCCTTATTTTTATCAAAATAGAGAGATGCAACGAGCTTTTGGAACAGAAGAATGCAGTTATACGGGATTTAATGTCTGAATTAGAAGCAGCTGATTTACGTTTTGTCAAGGATCAGCAAAGACAGTTGGAGGAAGTTTCTCTCTTGGTCCAAAGAATTGAAAATCAGGTCAAAATTATGAAGGAAGCTTACCGTCGAGAACTAGGGCTGATTGAGGTGAAATTTTGTTTCAAATAATATTTTATTTAATCAACTGTGAGGACTCATTTCTAATCTTTTTGCTCTCATAATAAAGGAGGCCATTTCAAATGAGCGGAAAGATCTATTGGATTCATGTAATAAGCAATGGGATGCTCTGTACAAACAAAGGGATAAAGAGGAAGTAAATAACTTGAAACTTCGTTTTCAAGAACAGGAGGAGCAGGATGAAGAAGTAAAGTGTGTAAGAATGGAACATCAGGAAAGGTACAGGCAAACTAAAATTAAATTGGATTCCGACATTCAGGTAAAAAAATAAATAAGAAAATATATTTTTAATAAAGTACTGTCACCAGTAAAGCAATCTGATTAATATTTTCCATGTAAATTTTCAAAGGTTATGCATCATGAATTAGAACAAGTAAAAGCAATGTGCCTCCTTAATGCAGAAAAACTTGATTACAATTATCAAGTGTTACAAAAGAGGGAGGATGAAAATTTAATGATGCGAGCACAACAAAAGCGTCGAATTAATAAGTAAATGCTCCTAATTTAACTGATTTGATAACCAGTATAACTTGTTAAAGTTAATATTATTTTAATAAGGTTGCAGGATATAGCTAATAGCCTCCGAAAAAAAATGAGAGAGTCTGAAGCTGCAGCTGAAATTGAAACAGCAAGGCTCCACGAAGAGATTTCTCGGCTCCATCAAAATATTGGTGACATAGAGAAGAAAGCAAATCATTTTGCCAATATTAATGATCGGCGATATAATCAAGTGTGGAATTTGCGTCAAGAAACTGCCAATGAGTTACTTACCAAGGTATTCTTAGTTTCTTGTAAAGTTAGGGTAAGGCAGAAAATTAAATTGAGATGTCTAGTGTCAGGCATAAATTTGTCAACAGATCATGACCATAGACCGCTTAATTCATGAACAACAACTTGGTTTAGAATGGAGTCCTCCTGAAAATGTTCTCCTCAACAAAGTGGATTTACCATCTTATCAAGCAGCAATGAAGATTATTTATCAACCATCTGGTTCTAAAGGTGTGTGGTGTTCTTGTAAAAAATACAATTGCAATTATATTTTTAACATCATTCAGGAAAAAATGTTTACAGAGGGAAAAGAGGGAAACTCCTCTGGGGAAGCTATTGGCTCTTTAAATGAAAGATGTGGGAGCTCTGAATCTAAAATTTCTCAGGAGAGAGAAGAAGATGATTCTAAAATGGTTTTAAAAGAATTGGCAAGGAGACGTCTCTTGAAATTAGTACTTCAGCGAGTCGCTGACAGTGCTGGTTTTCTTGTTGAAGAGAGACTGAGAGATCTTCTTGCTCCTTACTCAGAGTCTCAACAAACTATAATACGCCTGGACAATGTGTTTAATGTAAGTATTTTTATGGGCATTAATTATAATCTAAACTTAACTTGATCACAACCATAAAACAAGTTGCTTTTAATAGAGCAAATTTATATGTTATCTTTCAACTTGTTTAAACAAATAATACAGGCTTTGGGACTGCGACATGAAGCAGATATTGAAATGTTAAGAGACTACTTTCTTCCATATGCTACATGTACTGTTTGTATAAAATCTGTGCCTGAAGAGAAAGTCAGTACTGAAGTTACAAGAGACCATCTTACTGATAGCTTACTTAAAATTCAGTATGTATGGGACTTTCTGTTGGTGCATGGCTTTTGTGGGCAATTATTCTCATCTGTCTCTTGGCGGTATGTATTTTAGGCAAGCTGAGCCTTCAGAGCTTCTCCATTTGTCAGAAACACAAGAAATCCTTGTATCTGAAAATGCTACAATTTCATCAGTTATAACGGATCCGTCACTTCATAAAGTAAAGGACATAACTTCAACCAAAACTGGTATGTAGATGATATTTTAATAAGGTCATTTCAAAAAATAAGTAAAACAAAAGTAATTTTACTAATTGAAAGTTGTGACCATAATAAATACTTTTTGTAGTTGGTAGCTCGGCAATGGTTCTCCATGGTCCCCCAGAGAAAACATGCTATGACTCACATCCATTGGAAATTGATCCTGTCTATGTTTTGCAAGCACTCAGAAATTTCATTTCTAACTTCCAACAAAACAAACTGGGGTAATTGTGTAATTGAATTTCTCTTCTCCTTTGTTGTACGTACTGATTTAAAGACTGTAACCAATTATTGCAAAATAATAAATCTTAATTTTTCCAGGGATTTGAGGTCAATCGCTTTCTTACTCTCTCAGAAAAGAAACACTGTTTCTCGACTACTTTCTGTAGAGGATGTTGACAGGTTTTGGGGTAGGTACAAAAAGGCATTCCCCAAGCAGAGAGAGAGACTATGGGAGGGTTTTTTGATTGCCCTCAACAAATACCATGCAATTCTATCTGGTAAGTCAAAATATTAATTAAACTGTGTTTGA